GGGCATCTGAAGAACCTGCAATGGTTGCCACAGTGACAGCGAGGAGACAGCGTTGGCACTTTGTGGGGAGGGGGTGAGGATGAATTCTGTGTGCTGCAGAGCTTAGGACAGAAGAACTGTGCCACCCACGCTCGGGACGGCTCAAAGGAGAGCCATCTTCCAACCTAGGACACTTGACTTGGTATCACTGTCTGAAGCCCACTAGTGATCTCCAGAGGGGGCCATATTCTCTCTCCACCTCTCTAATGCGACTAACATTATTCCCTAATCTCCCGGAGTGGAAGCTAGCCAGAGGCATTACAGATCACCAAAGCAGCTCTCCAGCCCCCTCCCCCCCCCTGGATACCAAAGATCTGCTTTGCCTTCCGTACAGTCAAGCATTCCACCAGCACACGGCTGAAGATGGACATTGTTCCCCTAAAGTCTTACACAAAGGCAGCTATTGTCTAGGGCGGCTTCACGGGGCATGCACACATGCAGGGACCATTAAGACAGTCTCCATTATTTTCTACTCTCCCCAAACCTGGATGCCCCAGCAGCTACCCTGTCACCAAGGTAAAGAGGCCCCTCATAGCCCTTGCTTTAACCCTGATCAGAAAAGTCAATGGGAGGAATCTTGAAATTACCCTCCCTGCTTTTGTTTGATTCCTCGGCACCTTTGGGGCTGGAATTCAGACACAGAAGCCACCCCCTCCCTCTTGCTATTCTCCCCACATTGCACCTCCATTCTGCCTGCAGAGCCTCACCACTTCTATGGCTGCCAGCTGAGACTGGAGCACAAGGGCCATGGCTCGTAGCCAGATGTAGTCCCTGGTCCAGTACAGGCCATTCTGTACGGAGCAGCCAGGCAACCACTTCAAAATATAAACCAGATGCTACCACTCTCCTCAGAGTCCTTAAGTGGCTTCCACAGCATTTAGGATCAAATCTGAAATCTTCTTTTACTTTGGAATAGGGTCTTACTAGGCAGCCACGGTTGGGCGGGAACTCAGTATGCAGACCAGGCTGACTTCCAACTCAGAGATCTGCCTGTGCTGGCCTCTGCCTTGGGGTGCTGGGTTTAAAGGTAATTGTAAATCCAAATTCTTTATCATGGTTTAGATCCCGAAGGCCCACACCCAGAGAATCCTCATAATCACAAGCGCAGGATTTCTATTTCGAGGCCACCATGCCAAGTTCTTCCCCAGACCTTCCCAAGTCCTGGCTAGCCACCACAACCTCAGGTTCTTTAATCACCATTTCAACTACGGGCGTGTCTTCAATGTGTTCAAGTTGCTATTATAATAATCAGACTTAGAAACTTCCTTCTCACCATCTGCAGACCCCGAGGCCAATTCAGTGCCTGGGAGAACCTACTCTTTAGTTCATAGATGGTCTCTTCTATGGCAGAACCATGTGGCCCTAAAAGCCCGATGCCTTTCACAATGATGCTACTGCCATCCGGGAGGCTCTATGATCATGACTTAATAGCCTCCAACCACCCCATCTCCTCAAACAACCATAGTAGCGGCAGAGCTTAAACACCACGCCCTAAAGGCTGTTTTGGCCCCCTTCCATGACTCTTACTAGCTCCATCCTATCAATCTCCCAGCCACAATACAAGACACACTTAGAAACATTGTTTCACTCAAATACGATGTCTTCTAGGGCTTGACAGGTTTTCAATGAAGTATTTGTGGGTAGGATTCTGCCAGTAGACAGGTTTCACAGAGGTACCGAACATTATCCTGTCCATACAAAACCAGTGGCTTTCCACCTACATGCTCTAATCTCTTAAACCGAGGGTAATAGTTCCATTTTACAAAAGAAGGTCCCAGGGCTGGCAATAATGATACAAGAACTGGCTGGTTGTGCGACGTGCTCTTGTATTTAAACCTAGCAACTCTTAAAGTAGGTGTGATCAGCTCTAAGAGACCACACTGCTGACAGAGGGAGGTACTGGAATGGGAGGCTGGATCTTTTTTTTTTTTTTTTTTTGGCCCTCAACACAGAAGTGAGAACACTCCTACGGTTGTACCTAATCCAACTGTTGCGTCTCGGTAACAGACGAAATGGCCCAGTGAGTCAGGCAGCATGCCACCAGCCAGGCACAAACGTGCCTCCTACACCTGCACTTGGAGAATGCTCAGTGGTTTTTGCGAAGGTGGCCTGTGTAGACACCCAGCCCACGCTCTCTGTTTCCTAAGGTAGAGTGCCCTCTTCACCCACAAAGTAAAGCAACAGAGACAATGTTTCAAGTCTGAGAACTGTCTCACATCTACTTGATGAGAAGGCCAGATTTTAGGTCTGTTGTTAACTAGGCCCGGTTTTGTTGTGGGATATTCAATCACACTGTGAACCCTGGGCTTACCTTTGCATTAATTAAATAAAATTAACCTTGCATTAATTAAATAAATTCAACCTTGGGTTAGGAGGCGGAGCCAGCAACTAGCTAACAGAAAGTCAGAGGAAGTCCGGAAGCTGGAGAGGTGCACAGGAAGTAGTAGGGAGGGACTTCCAGGCAGAACTGAAGGACACTATTTCAGAGATACTGGCAAAGAGGAAAGGGCTCATTGTTCTTCAACATCCCTGAGCCAGCAGGCTTTCATCCCAGCCTCTGAGTCTTGATAAATAGAACGAAATAGATCTGGTTAAAAACTACATTTGGTGGCAGCAGCAGGAGGTGGATCCAGCGGGTCATAAAAGTCCTGCTGGGGCAGGCCAGTGACTGCAGAGTCCCAGTCCCTGGCTAAACCTGCAATAGATTCGGGTGCAGGCACTGTGCCAGTGGACTCTCGACCATTCAGGGCCTCAGGTCCACATCTGTACGAACACTATTACCAGATGATATGCAGAGAAAATCGTTTGCGTGGGGTGCTCTGCACATGTTTGCACGTGTCTGGTGTGAAGGTGCACACACATGTATGTGTGTGCGGAGGCCCCAGGTTGACATGGTGTCTCCTGCAGTTAATAGTAATCTGTTTTTCAGCGAGGCAGGCATTCTCACTGAATTGGGATCTCATCAATTTGGCTAGGCCGGCCAGTCTGCAAGTTCCAAGAGACTGCCCACGTCTGCCTCTCTAGTGCCAGGACTGTAGACACTTGCCTCAGCAACCAGCCTTCTCACCTCGCCCCCATGTGGGTGCCGACGATCCAAACTCATGCTCTCACACTTGGTAGCAAGCTCCCCAGAGCACCTCACTTGCCGGTCTTAAGATATGCTTTTTTAATAGGTTATTTTGCTGTGGATAAGGGCACCTCATGTTTTCTAGACGAGATGCTGCTTGAGCTATTTGTAGAATATAGTGCGGGCATCACGAATTCTCACCTGTTCCAGTCTCAAGGAGAGCAACCAGCAGGCATTTCTAGCACCATTTATATCTCTTAAGTTTTATTTCAAAAGCTTGCCAAGTTAAAAAAAAATACACATCATTCAATATTTACATAGCTCTCTCCGCTCTTAAGTGTACCACATCCATTTTACAGGGAAACTGTGTGTCAGACAGAATGCTAACCAGATTAAAGCGAATTCCTTCTGTTGAGATTTGCTAGCCCTTGCACGGGTAGTATTACCCTGACTGGGCTCAGTGTGTGAGAAGCACCAGCCATTCTGGCTTTACTCATATTGTGTGTCAGAGATGAAAAAAAAAAAATACATACATACATATACCCCGGTGAAGTTTCTTGGATTCAGTGCCAAGAAACCCCTTCTTCAGTCAAGGTCAAAGGAATACAGAGTTCAGGGAAAGAGGTAAAGCCTATGATACCTTTGGAAATAATTATCTCCACTCTTAATTCCAGCATTCCCAGCCTCCACTGCAGTAAAATGCCCACTTCATAAATACGTGGGGGACTGTACCTTGCACAAGACCCTTCCTGCTTAGTTCCTGCTGTCGGGAAGCTTTCTATAAACGTACACAATCTTGTAAAAAATGGCAAAAAAGAAAAAAAAAAGGTTGGCCAGTAAGTCAGTAAGTCTGAGCGCAGCATCCTAATGCCTTCCTCTCTTCCTGGGTGGTTCACAGAGCCCTGCAAGGCCCCAGTATAGGAAGCCCAGGTTGGCTGCACCCTAACTGCAGCGATTTGCTTCTTCCAAGGGAATCCAACAGCGCTGCGGGGAATCCAAGAGAAGCCTGGAGAAACCAGTGCACCTCCTGTGCCACCGGCCAAAAAGTCACCAAGTTAGCTGAGTTACCGGCTAATAATAAACAGTCTAGGAAGGACTCAGCCTTTCCCACCAGTTTTCCCGTTCTCTGCAGTTCCACTTCCAATCTCTACTCTTCAGTCAGGATTTATTTAAAAGACCCAGGGGAGGCTCCCAGCAACTCTCAGAACTCTCTTCTGGCCAGCGGTTCCCTGAACACAAGAATCCCCTGTGTAAAGCTCTCTGGGGGCCCGAGGCTACAGAAAATAGCTCGAACTCGCGTGGTGGCAAAGCAGTTTTAAAGACAGAGGCCTCCGGGCGGGGAGCGGCCCTAACACGAGGTCTGCACTCCTTTTCAGTATTTAGACAAGTCTTGGAGCACCCACAGCTCTGCGCTACCGGAGTAAAACAAAGCGAAGAGAAATCTAAGTTTGGAGCGGGGGTGGGGAGCCAGACGCGTGCAAAAGAGCAAGTGTACAGCTCTCCCACGTGGGACGAGTCAAGAGAGCGGAAGCGCAAATCCCGCAAGGCAGGAGGGACAGGAGCCGCAGCCGGGCCACGTGTCAGCTCCCGCCCGGAGCATCTCCAGAGGGGAGTGGTACTGAGGAAGGGCGGTAGCGGGGAGCAGCCCACCCATCGCCCCCCCCCCCACCAGACCACCGGCTACCACCGTGGGTCCGGGATGCAGATGAGTCTAAAGGCTGGGGGACACTGGAGTGCGCTGGGGGCGAATGCCGTGCCCCTGCGCCTCTCCGCCGCCGTGCGGGGGTTGGGGGTGTTCGGGTTGGGGGACACAGCCGGGAGGCGCGGCCGCTGCGGAGGGGCGAGAGGGAACCCGGCAGGGAGGGCCCATCTGCAGCTCGTAGGGTGATCTCACCTTCACCGGCGCGCAGGCGGCGCCCGAGGCCATGTCTGCACCAGGGGAGTCGTCTATGAGCGGGAACGCTGAAGCGGGAGAAGACTGCAGACCCGGCGCCGCGCGGGAGTGAGCAGTGCGGGGGCCCTGGGGCCCTGGCTCCTCCTCTTCCTCCCGGGGAGCGTGGGATTGGCTGCTCTCCTGGTACCCTCCTCCTCAAATCAGGTTCCCGCCTCCCGACCCTTTTGCAGACTTTTGGGGTTCTCTGCGCTTCTCTCTTATCTTGCCGCGTGATGGCGGGTCCTTGATCAAGGTAGAAATGAAGCCACTCAGGACGTGCGTGGCACTTTGTCTTTTAACTCTTTCATAAGAACTCCGTGAGGTGGCGCAGTACTTCAGCTCTGCACTGAATTGACTGCCTCGGTGACCTGGGCTGTAAAACCAGGCTCTGCCGCATTCCAGTCGGGCTTTTGGGTGGGCGAAGGGAAGCTGAAGGGTGCTAGCTGAGATCCCCGCCCCCTGCGCTCTGATTTACAAACTGGTTTATTCATCTTCAGTTTGGCGGGAGGTCTTTAAGGAGGCACGACTCTGCCCAAACACCAGGCAAGACGCATTCTTAATACTTCCTACAGCGCCTAGTGGTGCAGATTTGTTATCCCAGCAGCAGTGTGGCAAATTCCAGGTCTGGCTTGGCTACAGAGTGAGCTCAAGGCCACCCTGAACTATATTAAGAGTCTATCTCATCATCCTTCTCCCATTTCTCTCTGGAGAGGGAACATCCTGGATATCCTCAGCAAGGGTGGTTGAGGGGTCTTTTGAAGATAGTGGGATACAGGGAAGAATTAGAAAGCACAAATTTATGGTAAATTCTTCTCACACGTAAGTTTATTACCATTAAATCATACTGAAGGGTATAAGAATAAGAATATAAAAATGTAGATTTCAGAAATAAAAATGTAGAAATAAAGAAATACAAAGTTGTAAGCCTATGAGAATGAGAACAGACTGTGATTAGCTTTTTCAGTAGCTTCAGGATTAACTATTAACAGTGAGTTGTTCTGCTTTACAACCCTTAGCTCAATTTGTAAGGCTGAAGGATCTCTCTGCAAACTGAGAGCCAAACACTCATGGCCATCCTCGATTAATGACAGATATGAGCTGTGTTAACGTTTACAAGACAGATCTATGACCTCTGGGTTACACATTTTTTCCTGTTATGTGAAACTGAACTGGCAGCTTCAAAGGGGAGAGCACAGGGCTTCAATAAACACTACCTGGAAAGACCAAGAAAGATAATAGATTACGTACAAACACTAGTTTAACTGGAAAACTCAGTTAATGGGGATTGTAAAGAAAGGCAATCTGTATCTGAGTTTTACCTCAAGATTGCAAAAATTCCTTTGTCCAGACCTAATGCTTGGTGCTCCTACTATAAAAAGGTGAGTTCAGAAACCAGCCTTTGCCACAGCCTTACAAAATCCATCTCTGGCTGTGGTCTCAGCTAGCTGATAAGCTTTTTGTGCCCCATGGAGATTTTTTATTTTATTTTTTACTTTTTCCTGGATTCTGGTGTCTGGAGTAAAGCTTTCTTCTGATTTATTAAACTTTGGAGGTCTGTCCTCATCTTTGCGTGACCTCCCTAGACCCAGTGATACTTTTTTATTCTCTAAGCATACTTCTAAGAATTACAGTTGTCCTTATAAAAAGTACATTAAATTACATTAAATTAAAATTTAATTAATTAAATTAAATTTAAATTGTACTCCTTCTTTCTAGAAATCTCTTTTGTAAGGTAGACCTCAGTCATGATGCAGGCAATAGGCAAAAAAAAAAAAAAAAAAAAAAAAGACCAATCCCTTGGTCTGAAGTTTGAATGCATGGCTTTCCATAGGCAAATGTCTCTATATTTTAGAAGCACCAGTGATATCTACATCATGGTGACACTATGTTACTGGGTTAGTTGTTAATGAATATGAATTGAATGTGTTCATAAATGAGGCCAGGGACTAGCCTTACTCAAGGCTTTTCTAAGGTTGACGACTCCCTGTAAGGAAGGAAAGAAAGGAGGAGAGAGGAAGATGGAGAGAGAGGAAGGGAAGAGGGATAGCGGGAGATAAGTTGAGAAAGAGAAGGGTGAGACAGAGGAAGAGAGAGTAACGAAAGGAAAGGGAATGTGCTAAAGGATCTAGTTGGCAAAACTGGTGCAGCATAGACATCTTTATGATTGACTTTTTCCATTTACATTTTATTGCTATATGTTGTTACATCAAATGTCTACATGACAAGTGATTTGTGAGTGTGTGTGTGTGTGTGTGTGTATGTGTGTGTGTGTAAAGTCCAGAGCACAAACAAATTTATCTGCTGGAATAAGAGGATAGGATCTTTGAAAGAGCAGAGACATTGGAGAGAGCAGGGAACAGAAGAGGGCTCATGCAAACAATGGCCCAGGCCTCAGAAGAAGCAAATCATAATTTTGTATTTAAATACAATTCACCATTTTTCTATAATATTTCAAAAATGATTCTATAGTAATATAGAGAAATACACTCTCTCCGATAATAAAGATATTCTACAATTAGCACTTTTCAGATAGTAAATCTATTTATTATCATGAATAGTAACAGTAACTAAATTTGCTATCTTGAATAGTAATAGTAAATCTATTAATGATTTGAAATGTAGCTAATCTAACTGAGGGGTTAAAGTCAACATTATTGTGTTGGGACGTCAGTAGCCACATGTGGCTCGTTAACTGCTATATGTCGGGCATGGCGGAGGGAGATCCATGCTATCCAACATGGTGTGTCCACCTTGGGGTTGGAGGACAGGAGGTTAAGAGTGCAAAATTACTCTTTGCTAAATGGTGAGAGAGCCAAAAATACTGGTGCTGGGTTGTACATAGTTCACAGTTCTTAGAACAGAATAGGAATAGTTCTGTCACATGGTAATGTTGTTTTTCTTTTAACAAGAGGAAAGCAAAATCAATCCTTTTCTTACAATTTAACAGCAGGTTTTGACAAAAAAATTCCAACCAGTTAATAATAAATGAAGGGTTCCAAGAAACGAAGAAAGAGAAAACAGTGTAAGTCTGTGATGTTCTGGACGAATAGGAAATGCTGGGCTTCTATTGTTAAAAATAGGAATTACTTTTATCACCTGATCTCCGAACTCTAGATCTGATAAGGAAAATAAGAGGACTTTGTTACTGCAAAACCTCAGAACTGTGGAATCAGGGTCAGAAGAAGCATCGCATTTCTAGATGAATAAAGTTTCTGGAGAGCAAAGGGCAAATTCTAATGGACCACACTTGGGAAAGTTTGTGGGGAGAATTTCAAGCAGTCATCTGAGTAGAAGACAAGAAGCAGCAGGGGAAAATGAGCCAGTCCAAACATCAGTTTTTCCACAGGAAGAAAATACATATTGTTCTGTTTTTATTTAGAATATGCCATCGACAATGTGTATTTTCATCAGGCAGGAGTGGAAGCATGTATACTTGGAAAACATGTATCTACAAATATCCAAGAATTTTTTCTAATGTTCATGTTTTGACCTGAGAGTTCAATGTTTAGAAGAGTATTATAAGAAATTATTATAACCATGTAATGAAGCAGCTGAAGGCAGTACACTGAGGCAGCAAATGTTACAGCATTAATTATAAATAGATGCATATTATAATTATATGTCTATCAATAGGTTGGTTAAGTAAGTTATGTCACCTCCATACAAAAGTATTCAATCATTTAAAATTTTTTTGGCAATATCTATCAATCAAAAACAGTTTTACATATAGTTTTGCATATCTATATTATCTATATATCTTAATGTTCAGTGCATTTTCAAATTTTCTTAAATGTATTTATAAAATTTTTCAAGTATATTAGTCTTAAATTAAAACTCTTATCCCCCCTCCAAAAAAAAAGAGTATCTCAAAAAGTATCTCAAAAAGTAAAAAAAAAAAAAGGGGGGAGGACTTGGTATTTAACATCCAAGGAGGCCCAAGCTTTAGTCCTCAGTCCAGTAAAACAAATAAACAAAAATCAAAACTTCCTAGGCCAGGACAACATACAATACAGCAGAATTCAGGATGATGCAATACTAGCAGGAACCACTCTCATCTCTATGACCTTGCCCTGGATACTCAGTTCAGAGGCCCATCCCTTGTCCACTAGGATGATTCAGTATATACAGCTTTTGATGCAGTAAACTGCCCCAAACAAAGTGCTGGGAGGCAGCTATCATTTTTTAAAAAGCCTTATTTTGTTATTTACTTATGTGTATGTGTGAGTGTGCACATACCTGCAGGTGTGTGTGTATGTGTACGTGCGCCTGCAGAATCCAGCTTGCAGCTGGAGTTCTAAGCGACTGTGAACCCCTTGATATGGATACTGGAAACCGAATTTACCTCTGCAAGAGCTATGGGTGCTCCTAACCCCTGAACCATCTCTCCAGCTCTGGGTGACAGCTATCTCTTAAGGGTGGTCCCTGAGATACAGAAATGCTACAAATTACCCTGAGGTTGGGATGGGAGTCAAGGAAGGAAATTCCGTCTTCTTCCTTTCACCAGTGTTAAGTGAAGTTCCCAGAGAAAAAATACCTGTTACATTACATTCTACCAGGCTCAGAACTTCGGTGACTGGGAAGAGTTGGAAAGTTGCAGGTTCGGAGCCAAATTATTCTGGCCTGTCTTGCTCCACTAAGTAGTATTTATTGCCTAACTCTCTGTGTGCCTTTCCATCCTGTGACTAGTGGGTAAATCTTCTGGGGATGTACAAAGCTAGTCCACCAATCATCTCCAAACCTAAGAATCATCAGTTAACATATGCAGACTTCCCTGCTTCGCAACTCACCTAAGTGTTCTCACAAATGCATTCAGAGTATTTTCCTGTATGATTTTCTTTGTTCTTCCCCTATGAAAACTCAGTGAAACTGTTACTGTCCTGGAACATGATACTTGGGTTGAAGTAAATCTGTATTCCCCTGTCATGGCCATTCATGCTTGAATCTCAAATAAATCCTCATGCCCTCTTTGAGGTGAGAGCTTTTTCTACTTCCTATGTATGTCTCTCTTAGAGTCCTCATTGTTGTCTAAGTTCTCTGGGATTGTGATTTGTTGTTGCAATATTGAGCGGCGGGGCTGCGTCCCCAACACCCCGGCCGCTTGGCTAGCTCATGCCCGAAATAACAACACACAAACTGTATTCATTTAAG